GAGTGGTTACAGTGTCACACAAACTAGGCCCAAGGTAGGGTTCTACTAATAGTCATCAAAAACTTTCTCTCTTGTGTTTCCCAGAACATCCCCTAATATTAAAAGAGACTATGTTGACGATGAGCTTCAGGGCTTGCAGACATGGGCACTGTATTCTGCACGGGGAAAGAGCGGGAGCAGCAGAGAGAAAGCAGGCTAGCTTTCCAGCCTAGTTTTCTCCTGGGCTAACTTCTCAGGGGAGCAATCGCCTCTGACTTTCCCCAGGTTGTTCCCAAATGGGCCCCTAGCTGGCTACTCAGGACTCAGAAGCTTATCTGTCTTCCAGATGTAAATGTCACTGTTTGCACGAAGTCTGGAGCACCAAAGATCCACAAGAGACGAGATTCCTTGAGGGCAGTGACATTACTTTACATCCTTTTGGTTGTTAAATTTGGAGAAATGATGATTGCAAGATTTTATTTGGTAGTTTAAACACTGTAATTCTGAAATTTCACTGCTAACTTTCCACCACAAAATGTGGGCCAAACTATAGGGGCAATGACTGGACATGATTTCCTTTCCTGGAGATTTATAGAAAGATACATGACACACTTCTGCCTAGCTTGGTTTGATTAGGAGGAGGAGAATGGGTGAACCCTGAAGCCCTCTCCAGTTTTACATTTCTGTGTGGCATTCACCTCTGGTGAGAAGCCTCCCCTCTCCCTCCCATTTGGCAAACCCCTCCTCCTCCAAGCCTTCCTGGTGAAGTCCCCAGATACAAGATAGAATGAGAACCTTTCTCCTCTGAGTGCTCAAAAGAGGAAAAAACAAAAACAAGAACTACGTTTACAAAAATTACTTATTTTAAAATGTCAACTATTTTCTCTCGACTATGTCTTCTGCATCATACTGCCCTTGTGTCCCCATGCCTTACCAGAGTCTGGCACGCATCACAGTAAATATTTGGTGGTTGAATAAGTAAAGGTTGAATCCACTGATTCTAAAGAACATCATCTCCTACAGATAAATGGTAACAGTTTTGTCCTAGTGGTTCTATTTCAAACAAAGATTTGTTTTTATAAACTTTTATGTGAAATCCATCACACTTTTCAGAGCAGTCCACTTGTAGCCTCCTAATATCACAACATCTGCTTGTATTTAAAAGATCCTCGTCTTGTTAGCTGGACTATATATGTAGCAAAACACAAATAAGGTAGATCTTACAGCCTCACAATTGAGAAGTCATCATCGTGTGCTGCATTTCCTGTGGTTTCTACACCATGGCACCTGGCCCACTGGGGAAAGCCACACTTTCTATTGCTTATTTTCTGGTGTATCCATCCTAGTCAGAAAATTCCTCAAAAAAATGAAGATGTAAAATAATCTGGAGAAAAAAACAAAACAAAACTGACAGGCTGCATCATTTCACTTTAAGAGCTTATCCCAACAAATATTTAAGAAATTTCTGGAGGAAGGGAGAGTAATTAGGTAATGTTACAGCAAGTGTAATATGATACACTCTTTTCTCCTTAAAAGAAAGAATCCAACTTGTCATATTTAATGAGTATCCTTTTGAACCATGAGTACATTACCTGATGTGCCCTACCACTAAGCAGTAATTCATTCACGAACATAGCCTCATCCTTTACAAAATTTTTTCCTTAGAATTGCACTAAAATCTTATTCAATCAGCACAACAGTAAACATATATATGGAATGCTAAGAATAGGAAACACAATTCTGGAAACAAGTTTCAAATGATAAACTTTAGGAAATTTCTTCAGCAAAACACTTTTTATATAATTTCACTTATTCAAAATATATCAAGAATGCACATTTTAAAATGTGTTTTTGATTTTAAATAATGAAGCAAATCTCTTTGTCATGTGCAACCCACACTGTCCCAGGATAAGGGGAGTGGCAATACAAGAGAAGGAATATCACTAAAATATTCATTCATTCATTTATTCTTTCATAGCTCTTGCCTTCCCAACTCTTAGGTCCAATCTTCAGTTTTTAACTATCCTCACACCTTAATCTTTTCTTCTGAAAAATAGGTCAGATCATCTTAGCAGACAACCAAGGATATGGTAGAGACGACAAATGAACATTGTTGACATACCCAGACCCATCTGAGAGTCTATTAAGATTTTTGCCTTCCCCATATTTTTATCCCCTTAGATTTCCCTATAATGGAACTTTGTGAAAAAAAAATTCTTTTATATATCAACTTTTATACAGATCAGAAATATAGGCAGAACATTCAATAAGCTGGCTAGGCTAGAGAGAGAAAATTATGAACAGGATTTCTTCCTCAGATTTCAGCCCCACAGGATTTAAGCTCCCATCTTGGAATTGCTATTGACTTGGCATGTGTCACACTATTTTACCCATTGCTTCTGTGAACAGACACGTCCTTGAAGGTGAAAGCTGTTTTGAACCTTCTGTTCCTAGAGGGCAGGATGTACTCAGTCATGTCTGTGGGTGACAGTGATGGGCCCACTCATTCTGAGCTCTTGGGATAGAAGGCAGGGTCCAGAACGGTCTCCTTCTCCTCAACGCGGTTCAGACCACTTTTCAGTACTCACTTTCACCCATTGAGAGGGTGTGGGACTGTGGTGGGCCAACACATTTTATCTCCTGTGTAATGCTGATCAATTCCGTAGCAGCTGCCTAATGGCTAGGTTAAGAAAGATAAGGAGGTCACATCTGGACCCTAAGACAGACTGCTCTGCTGGATTAGTGATGCTGGTCACAGGCATAGGTGAGGAGCCTGGTGTGTGACATGCTCAATATCTGCCATCCCAGCTCCACTCACTTAGCCCAAGTCGGAATTTCATTAAGCTCAAAAACTTTTCATTACATAAATTTCTTCCTCTTACTGCATTAGACCAGGGGCAGAAGATTCAAAGTCTTCTAAATATATACTTCCATGTGGAATCCTTTTCTATAAAAGTTTGGTAAAGAATACTCTTCCCAGTGAGTCAGGCTAAAGGTCAACTTCATGGACCCAGCATTCCCTCCTCTTTCCACAGGCACACAGTAAGAAACCTTTCCTGAGAGCATTCAGAACGAACTTTTAAAATGCCGCTAGCTTTTCCATAAAAGCAAAAGCATCAAAGCTCTTCTTCCCACAAGTGACCCCGGCTAGGATCACTTAAGGATTCCACTGGCTGTCCAGCTGCTCTCTTCCATTCCAGTGGGTGCCATCCTGTGCCCTCTGACAGGTCTGTACATCAAACACAACCCCCAGATCAGGGGGGACAACATTCAGATTGTTTTAGACTTTCTCTCTGAAACCATTTAGGAAAACCTTGCACAAATTCATTTTACAATGGCAGAAATAGAAATTCAACATACCTCCTCTGCTAAAATGAAGCCGTGTTCTGGAGGCTCAGCAAACTCAATATAACAAATCAAATCTATTCTTTTTTTGATTGTTTCTACTCTTCTCAGCCAGAAAGACCCTTAATTGTTTTCTGAAGTATCAAAGAAGTCCATTTCATAATCCTTATCTAAAGAACTACATACAAAGAGAAGTGCCTCATTAAGTGCCGACAGCCTCTACTTCTAGCTTTGTAATCACATTTATTATATTTCCAAGGCAATCTTCCTCATCAATTCCATTTCCCTAATCAAATTACATTGTTTAAAAAGGCAATTTTAGTTAATACGTGCTGTACTCTGCATTACAGTAATGCACCTCCTTGCTTGCCCTTCACCCGGCTCGTCCAGAGCATTTATGCCATTTATAAACTGCGACAGCCTCTCCTCCTGCTTCCTCTGATTGAGAACAAACCACTTAGGCCAGAATCATTTAGAAGTTTCCTCACAAAAAGTTCAATGGTTATAATGGAGCAACAGCCTAAGGGAAAAATAGTAAGTTAAAATAAAGTAAAAAGGGTTGGTTTTCTCAAGATTTCAAGAAATATTCCTTCCTTAGTGAAATATGGATACCAGTTAAGTAAATGGCAGGAAGGACAACAACAGTGACCACAGATGAGCGTGTAAGACATGAGCAATGGACAGGTTTGCATGCTCAGAGTTCCTTCTCCAGATTGATGACTGAAAGAACCCTGCATGAGGAGGCACAAAGGTAGTTGGATGGAAGACAAAAGAGCATAAGGAAGACTAGGGCAGAGTGGAGCTCTATTGTTACTTTATGCATCATCTGAGCCTCTAACACATGGCACTTTATGAAAAAAAATGAAGTTAAATGGGCTGCAACAAATACTGTAAGATAACACCATTAGCTATATTCTGGCCAAAAGTATGCCCTGTTTAGTATGGAACATTAAATTGGATTTTTAAAAAAAGGGTTCCAAAATAGAAACCATGGTAGAGGAATGTTTTCAGCTTGAAAGACATCCAGGTTTTTTGCTTTTTTTGTTTTTTGGGGGTTTTTTTTGGTAAAATATTATTTTCTATAGAAGCACAATTTTATGAAGTGCAGAGAAAGTAAGACTAAATTAATGAAGATGCTCTGCAAAAAACATTTCAAAAACCACTGACCTAGAGTTTTAAAGGTTTCTTTCTAGGAAATCAATTTTAAAATAATCTATCATTACTCATCTGCAAAGTGCAAAAATGCTGTACCTCATGCTCTGGACCTTCTCATTTTTCCCACAGTTCAGTTTCTCTTTTCTTTTGGTACCGGAGATCGAACTCGGATCTTTGAGTTTGCGCAGCAGGCGGCGAAACCACTGAGCTAAATCCCCAGCCCTCTCTTGCTTTTTAATAAAAGTAAAACAAAAGCAAAAGTTATTTTTATTTAGCTTAAGAAATTTAGGCACCTGGGCTGAGACAGAGCTCACAGGTAAATAGCTGTGTTTCCTAATAGACTGAATACATTTGATTGCCATGAATTTGTCCTTTACCTTGAAATGTCAATCAGAATCAAAAGTAAATGTTTTGGGCTTTTGTTTTACAAAATTAGGGCCTTAAAATAAGTTCTTGGATGTAAGCCTGGATGCAACTAGCCTATTGATAATGGATCTAGTTCAAAACACCACATAACAATATATGTTTACATCACCCTTTTATTTCATAGTTAGAAATAATACAGTTCCATGGGTAAATCATCAATAAATAACGGTGTTTAATCATTAAATGTAAAAATCCCAACTCTTTGGCATCTGACAGGATTCTATTTCTTGTCAAACTAATAACTGTATAGATATAGTTAATCTTAGTGATCATTCATCAGTACAATATGTTACAAAGGTGCAATTTACTTTAAAATATACAACAGCTGAAAATTTCCAGCCCTCCAAGAAATCTGATCAACTCAGTACGATGCAGGCCAACTCCAAGGCTCTTTCACATGGTTTGCCTTAGTGAAAGTATAATAAACATTGATTAAGAGTTCTAGGGTTTCCTAATATGCATTCTGCTCTAAAGTTTGCCATTGATTTTGGCTAAAGGAAAATCACAATTGTACCAGGAACGACCCACTCATTAATTAAAAGATGTTATTTTATAGGCAAGGTTGCTAATACCTAAAAAACTCTCAGCCCCCAAAATAAAACATAAAACGCAATTCTGTGTTGCCAAAAATGCCAAATCAGTAATAAATTGCACCTTCAAGAGTCAAAAAAAAAAAAAAAGGAAATAGAAATGTTTACAAAAGGTAAGTTACATACATTTTTTTTCAAACTATATTCAAGAATAGTTGAGCTGTATTTGTTACTAAAGCCAGGGCATTATTTCTTTAGCAACAAATTAAACCAGTGCAATTGACATAAATTGTTAAGTAATCCGGGATTAACCCATTAAAACTGTAGAAGCACCTTAACCCTAGACATTAGAAACTCCAAGAGTGCTGTGTTGTACAGAATGGAAACTGGAACGACCCAAAGCCATGCTGAATGGTATCATTTCACACGCAGTTTAAGCATTCAATAGTAGAAATCATGAGATCCTCTATTAAAGTTCTGTTCACATACAGAAAATTCAGACGCAAACACCATTATTCCTATAATCCACAATTAAAAGAATCCTTTCCATTTTAAAGTTCCAGATGAATTTTAAATTAGAAAATAAGCACGAAGGAAACTTTTTCAACTTACGAAAACTTCATATTGGAACCTTTCTGGAAAAGCTTCCCCCCACTCATTGTAAAATAAATACTTTGTATCTCAAATTTAATAAGACACACTTTAATAATGCTATAAAGAAATATTTTACAGCCAGAGAGACCAATAACTTTCCATGCGGAAATAAAAAATTCATTGCTCAATATTATTGAGGCAAGTGAAGAAAGGTTATTCTCTTAATCTGAAATGTTAACTTTTTTCAGTGCAAAACCAGTTATAAAATATTTAAACCTAATATTTAAAAATAAAAAGTGGTCCAATTCAGCAATGTTCGAGTTCTAAATTTCATAAAACAAATCATTACATACATTTTATAGTAAAATACAGAGATTCGAGAAGTACTTGTGTACTTAAGATATAAAGTTCTAATGAATCATACCAAGTCAGCAACAACCAAGCAGATAACATTCCCAATTTGAGTGTCAGAATTAGTAAAGATGAAATTACCGTACCAAAGCCTTTTTTCCTAGCTAAAGAGCTATACAAACTAACGGTCAACATTCTGTTTTCTTTGCAGTTGCGTGCTCTAGAATGATATCCCCCCCCCCGAAGTACCTGTGATTTCATTCCTGTATTCAAAATCTGATCCAATTTTTATGTTCTAGGAACACTTAGCTGATATAACCATCTATAATGTGAAGAGTCATGTACAGAGTACAACAGTGGGTTTTCTCTAGCCAAGTGGAGGCTGACCTAAAGTGGTTTAAGCGGTGCGAGTCACTCATGTGTTATTCCTAGCAAATACTCGGTCCCCTCGGAGGGTTAGGTGTTGAAGCTGGTACTGTAGCACTTCTGTGTCGGCTGGCTCCTTGATGTTCATTTTATCTAGATTGAGGTAGTCCAGAGATTTGGAGTGAGCCCTCTTACCTTTAAGAAGACATAGAGGCAAGGGCCCGTGGAAGGCCTTATAAGGTTCATAAGGTAAGGATTTAGTGCACTTGTCTCCTGAGCTAGGCATTCGCCTTCGCCTCCGGCCATTGACAGCTGGAATCTCATATGGCTGGAAGTACCTACTTCTGGTTTTATACAAGCGAGAGGAACGCCCAAGTCCTGCGTCCAGCTGTTTAGACCTCAAGGTAGGCATGGCTTCTCCCTTGCTCTCTTCACCTCCAGTGCACTTCTGGGCTAATTTCAGGAGTTCCTCACCAGTTGTGAAGCCAACCAAATAGTTAGAGTCCATGTGGAGGATCTGGTAGCCTGACACAGTCCGACGCATGGGTGAGCAGGGTGTGCTGGAGCAGCGGGGCTTCTCCGCCTCTGCTTTCCCCGGAGAGCTGACCTCAGCCACGGGCAAAGGCAGGGAGGTCAGGGTACTTCTGGGCTCTCCATTTATATCTACTTCCATTTTAGGCACCAATCTGCACGCTCCTAAAAGTAAACAGACTCAGATCAGAAGAGCAGGATGCATAGAAGGTGGGGTTGGGCGAGATGTTTTTAGAAGTCTAGCGGCATGGGATAACACTATCCTGAAAGACAGCTGAGGTACAACTGGCAGACTATTACCTATGCCTATTAAGCATTTCGGAGCAGGCATGAAAGGACCACTCCCTCTCAGCCTTTAAGGACTCACAGGCAGGTTAAATGAAAGCCTATAGTACTATGAAAGGTCCCCATGGAGAAGTAAACAAAAAACAGTATTTCTCTAAACACAGTTCTCCCTTCAACCACGTAAAGTTTATTTCTTGACGCAGTATTAAGCAAATCAAACACAGATCTTAACATTAAGTAATTAAGAGCAAGCTCACAGACTTTCACAAAAATCCTCAAAATATTTCCATCTTGAAAATTAAATGTTTCTCTCATTTAATTTAAAATAAATGTTTAACTCTTCACAACTGCAAATCTTTTCCATTGTATTTAAGGGGCATATAATACACTAATTGATTAAGCTGATCAACTTTTGCGAAGAACCCAATTTAAACCTAAAAAATTACTTTTTAGGTATACAACAGTCTTTGATAAAGTTTCCCCCAAACCTTGTAAACACTCCTCTTTCCATGTGAATTACTCCTAATAATTAAAGAAAATCCTAATGATTCATTCCCAATGAATTATTTAAGGAAAATCATTCTGCAGCTTAAGTTAATCCTAACCCAATATATCAGGTATCATTTAGTATTAATAATATAAAATATTAAGTGTTATTTTATGATTGATCATAAAACACACCATGTTTTATTTTATTTTGCAATGCCCGCATCATTTCTTTGAATATTTTAATATGCAGCAAAATGATTCACAGTGAATACTAATACTGTTCATTACAATATCATATTACATAGTTCGGAAAACCCCACCAACAAGAAGTACCACAAATAATGGCTAGGCTCCAAGAAAGTTGCAGATAAAACAAATTTTAGAAAAGAAAATATGAGCCAGGCATCATGGTGCACACCTGTAATCCCAGCACTCAAGAGTCTGAGGCAGGATGATTGCTGCAAGATTGAGGCCAGCCTGGACTACACAGTGAGTTCAGGGCCAGCCTGCACTACACCGAGAGACCCCTTGTCTTTATAAACCAGGAAAAGCGGGGGGACAGAGACAGTGTCATTTCTGATAAACTTTATTTCCACTGATCTTCAACTGCAAGTGGGTTACAGTTACACAGCTTTAGGCAACTACCTCAGATTGCTAGTCCAAATGTCAAATAATTGAGTTTACAATGAAAAATTTACTAAAGGGCAATCATATCACATAATTCTCATGAATCCTTTTATAAAACAAATAACTATTTGCTAAGTGAAGCATTTCCTAAAGTTTTGGTTTATTTATTTTATTTAAAATTAAAGCAATTAGAACACTAAAAACATAAAACAGAAGAAGAGAACTTTATTCCTTGACTTGAATGCTCTACTTTCCTTCGTTAGGAGACTGTGAAGTTACCAGATGCCATCCTGTCCTTACTACGGTCCCCATCTACAGCACAACAGAAAACAAACATTCATAACTATTCCTGAAATAAAGCAAATGTCACAGGGATCAACACAGGCAGGGATCACTATTTACTCGAATCTCACACTATTTTCCAATTTTGACTTAGCAGACTATCCTTGTTTCTCAACCCTTCTAGATTTAAAGTAACTGGCTTTATATTTTACTAAAATAAAAATAAATTTATCTTCCATTGTGCAATTTGTTTCTTTATTGATAGGATCAGAATACTGATTTCCAGCTACTTTGCATGTATTTAAGATTTCTCAGCTAACAGACTTCTGAGAGCTACAGGAGGCATCGCCAAATTTTCCTGCTAAAGAAACAAATGTTTATCCTAATCCAAATGACACAATAATCCTTCCTTCTCAACTAATTCTCCAGCCTAGGAAGAGCACAGGACAGATCCAAGGCCTCCAACCTACAAAACCTGATGGCCAGCTACAGGCAAGAATTGTTTCTCCTGAGACTTCATTCTGAAGGACAAGGAGAGGGGGTTTCTGAGACAGAAACAAACAGAGCTATGGGCAAAGACTAAGCACCAATCCACAGGAAAGCCATCACCAGAGACCCTGGAGCAATGGGTCCACACTGGTACACTGGTCTGGGTCCCTTCCAAATTCGGCACTCAGCAAAAACCCATGCATTTCTACCAGCTGCATTATGCTCAGCTGTCCTTAAACTCCACGAATTCAGATCCCACTCTTTCTGAGTGGGGTAATAATTCACACCAGCATCAGGCTGACATTCATCCTTTTTGTCTAAAAGGAACAATAAGTGCAAAGCAAGCTAACAGGAGACAGTACTGCAATAAAGAAGAGGGGACAGGCTTCTGTGGCAAACAGAAGCACAGAAGTTTGTTTCCACTTTTAACAAATCCTGCTGTCCCACAGCCAACCACTGGGGACTCTTAGAATCTCTTGGGGTTGAAGATGAAGGGTGGCAGAACGTAAAGGTTTAGAGAAATAGGCAGAAATGATGTACCCATTTGAAGAAGTAATCTAGGTGCCTTCAAACTCCAGAACTGTGCCAAAAATGACACTAAACATTGAACAACCTCAAAGTCAGCAATCACCATCCCAAGCGGATGGACTACGGGTAACACTACTGCACCCGGCCAGCATATACTGACAGGAGGATGTACAGTATTTTCTACAGCATTTTTTTTAACCTTGTTTTGGGGGAAGATATTCATTCATGCTGCACAGGCTTTACTACTAAGCTGTACCAGCTCCAAAATTTTTTGTTAAAATGCATTCCTTAGGAAATCCAGCTACAGAGACTACAATTGTGAGATGACCTGTGTTTAGCAGCATATTTCACAGGTTTTACCACACACACAAAAAAAACCCAAACCTGCCTATGGACTTAGTAATACTATTCATGACTCGACATTTTATTTCTTATTCTAAAATGAGCTGGTGTCCAAAAAGCCTAGCACCAAGATAACGGATTGCAGAGCACCCTTACAAATACTACAGGCTGGTGTGTGCAGTAACCAGGCTTTCCACTGCATCAACAAACAGTGAATCAAGAAATCAACTCCAGTGTTAGCCCATACATTCCAGACCACTAAAACTCAGAGCCCTAAGATGCCCTTCATGTTCCCCTTGTTGCCTACAGATAGTTTAAAGCAAAAGACTGGAAACAGAAAATTTCTAACAAGTGTTAATCTTACAGTAAAAGAAGCAGCAAATTTTCTGCAGATGGAAGTATAGAAAAGAAAACCTGAAAAGTTAACTTGAAGTTAAACAATGCTTCTTTCATGATAAGCAGAAAATCTGTTAAAAGTTTGGGTATAATTCTCAGAGACAAAGTTTCCCAAAAGATAAGGTTATTGAGCATCAATACCTCTAGCAATTGTCCATAGCCAGTTCCTCTGCTACAAGATGTTTGAGTTGGTGACAACTTCAAGAAACAGGTTTTATTGGGCTCCATGTCTAGAGCTCAATCCTGCTTGCTAAGTTCTCTAACTGCAAACAGATATTTCAGACAGCTCTTGGGATCTATGAAAATTTTTAAAAGTACTTTCCCTGATCAGATAACTTCTACCCTTTTACATCCCTCACTAACCTGCTTCAATGATTACTTTTTTCTTTTTCCTGTTTTTGAAGTCTATAAAATACAAGCAGAATGAAAGATATCCAATTCAAGTAATTCAGAACGATGTTCTAGAAAAGACAAAAATCCCTTTCCAGCTCCTATCAATGCTAGACACATCTAGAAGAAGCCTCTATTTTGATGTATACTTTCTTTTTCTATGTATTTATAAATGTAAGCGTAGGTGTCCACTTATTCTGACCACAACACACACACACACACACACACACACACACACACACACGAGCATTTCCGCAAGAACTTCCAAAAGTAAAAATGCTGAGTGAAAGAACATATACTTTTAAAATTTTTATGCCAACCTATCACACAGCTTTATGTAACATGTTGTCATTTTTTACAAGAGTGAATTTACATTTCCTATAACTAAAAATTAATGTAAACACTTTTGAAAGTACAACCTACAGACTCACCAACAGAGTGCCTATTTCTACTCTTACTGCTTCTAAGCAGAAATAAATTACTGAAGACGAAAGATGATGTGGCCAGAGGATACTGTGTCTGATTTTCTGCAAAGGAAAAGATAAATGAGAAGGGCCTCGTGCCCATTCTTTGAGCTCAAATCTCTGCATTTTTCAGCTTTAACACTTTGATATTTCTTGAAAGAAATTTACAAACTACTTGTCACATTTCCTTCAAGAAAAAGGAAAACAGGGGCCAGGTATTTAGCTCAGTGGTTTCACCGCCTGCTGTGCAAGCGCAAGGACCGGAGTTCGATCCCCGGTACCAAAAGAAAGAACAAGGAAAATAACACGTATACGAAAAACACAGTGTACACTTTTAAATTATTGGGTGCAGGATGCAACTCCCCAATCTGAGTATTCTGCCTGAGACTGAAGCAAACAGGCCCAAACCATCACACACGTAGATCTTCATCCACCAGACGGGCAGTAAAGAGGTGACCAGCTCTGCCCTGTCCACACGGCTTTAACACTTTCCTGGAGGCCAAGCCTCCCACGCACTTGGCGCCAAGTCATGTTGTGAAAATACAGCACAGACACCTCAGCTCTGCAGACCAGCTCTGAAAACAGCTAATACGTTTCACAACTGCCACACAAGGAATTCTTTTTTAGAAGTATTGAGTTATGCAAATTTTTTTAAAATCAGGCTTATCAGAAAAATTCCCCCCAGTAAGCAACACACTGCTTTATATGCTTTAACTGTATTTAGGTACATATAGCAATGCCACGTAAGAGAAAACAAATAGGAACATAACCATCTTAAATATACAAAAGAAAAATGTCATCATGTTAACAAAATCATTCAAAATAGATCTTTTTTTGTGAGACGGGGTCTCTAAAGGATAACTGATAATTAGGCTACTGATGGCTAGAATCACCTAGTTTCAATGCCACAACTGTCTTGGGAGTTCACCTACCTGTAGAGAAGACACTGAAGCCAGGGAGGCAAGGGCTTGCCTGAAGCCACAGGTAGTTAGTGACCTTCACTACACCCCAAGCGTCCTGGCTCCATGTCTAGTGCTCCTTTTATTTCATTTACTGGGATTCCAATATGTGGCTCCCGAACTTCTCTATACAATGAAATTATCCAAGGAGCTTCACAAAATATTGATTATCTGTGTTCCACTCCAGATTTGTAATTTAATTGAACTAGGGTGTAGCTTGGGTTCTGAAATTTTTAAAAGATCCCAACTGATTCTTATATGCACATAGGTTTAGAAACTTGTCAGATAGAACTCATCAGAGGAATTTCACTCCTTTAAGTTCCTACCCTTGTTTAGTTATGTTAGTTAACATAATTTTTGCCTTATAATCACTAGCCACCTACCCCTAAGGCCTTCTAATTTACTGTTTCTAATCCACAGTGAGCCGAAAATATTTGCTAACCAAACTTATTAAAACTGGATATAAAATAAAAACAAATCTGTGCTGAATGAGATTTAAGAAACTTCACCCACATGCACTTCAGTATATTAGCTAATTAAAAGCCTGTGCAGGTGCAGTTTCTTTGGGAAACAAATTTGGCAATTTATAGAGTTGAATACATGCTTATTAAATAACCCTGCCACCCCACTCCCATAGATACCCAAGGAAAATGAAAATACATGTCCACAGAGAGATCTGAACATGAATGTTCATAACAGGGTCATTCCTAATTACCATAAACCTGAAACAAGCCAAATATCCATCTCAGGGAAACAGATGAACAAACTGTGGTCCACGCATACAGAGGAATATCATTCAGCAATGAAAAGGTGCAAACTAGGAATACACCAAGCAAAAGAAGCAGACAGAAAAATGCTATATACTATGTGGTTTCATTTACCTGACATTCTAGAAAAGGTATAACTATTGGGCTAGAAATTAATCAATGATTATCAAAAGCTGGATTGGTGAGAGAGAACAGACTAGCAAGGGAACTGGGGGAGTTGAGGTGAATACTGTATAAATTGACTATAGCCATTAGTACACAACTGGATACATTTGTCAAAACACATTAAACTAAGTTTTTCTGGACATGGTAGCACAGATATGTAATCCGAGCCCTCAAGGATTCGAGGCAGGCGGATCACAAGTACAACCCCAACCTGGGCAACTTAGCAACCTAAAGAAAACCTATCTTAAAATAAAAAAATAAAAAATGAGTGAAGGATGTAGATCAATGCAACAACCCTGGGTTCAATTCCAGGTGACAGACTGATTTTTACTGTATGTAAGTTATACTTCACCACGCCCGATGTTAAAAATAAAGAATTCTTTGTCACATTTCCAGGTTTTAGATAGTACTCCCAACTTTATAATTTTCTGGCCCATATAATCATAGAGTCACAAGAGTCCTAATGGTTACCCAGGGCACATCTGATCACCTTCAATGACAGGTAACTTGCTGCCTCCCAAGTTGATTCATTTCCCCTTTTACTGCTCTGCTGGAATGTAATTTTATTTACAAATATAACACATACACACAAATATAACAAATGAACACAGATGCATATAGAGATGATTTAGACTCCATACACACACACATACATTCCTGTAATTTCTACCAGTTGCTCCTAGCTTTAAGTGAGTTACTGACTCAGCCACAATGTTTCCTACTGAATTCCCTCCTAAATGTGCTTTGTACTTAAGGCTTTCAGACTTCTTGCTCTTTCCCCCAAACTCCAAATTTTAGTACTGTTTCCATTTTTTCAATGTTTTAAAATGCATGTTTTATAAATTTGTGAGGCTAAATCTACTTAACAATAGCAGCATTTTTGTTTTCGCCCATCATTCCTTTGAATCATTCTGCTGCTGACCACTAATTTAGAAAATGCTTAGCATGAAACTGCTTTTTCCAAGGATTGTGACCTCTCTCAGTAATTCAAAGCAAGGACCCACAAAGATTTTGGCCAAGTAGACTGACATATCAAAGCATGACTCACAATATAGTTTTGAAAATGCAAAAGAGCTACAAAGACCATTATTAATTATTTTCCCTTTCAAAGAAAAAATAATGCAGACAACTGTGTCAGCATAGACACATGTGACATATTGAAAAGAAAGACAACTAAAGGAAGCAACAGCACTGCATACGTTTAACAGATTAAATTCATAGTGAGATAAAAAGAATGTCACACTCTTGGTGAACTGCTATCCAACTAAATGAAAATGATTCTCCATTCAGCCACCTGTTAGCCTGGCATTATGTATAATACACAACTAGAACTTTTTGGAAATTATTTCACCAATTTTTGGAGATTAATATTTTTACTAAAATTTCCCAAATTAAAGCAACCATCTGTCTCTAATTACTATATATCTTGAAATATTATTGCATAAGAACTCCTTTATCTTACAGGAATTTTAATAAAGGAAAATATATTCAATCAGAATCAAACATTTCAAATAATGTTAGCATTTTGTAATCATTTTAGTTTTAACCTTTAAAAATCTCATAGCATACGTATCTGCAATGATACACTAACATTTCATATGCACCTATTTATTTAAGCAATCCTTTACATTATGTTCATACAAGTAGCTAACAATACGGAAAAAGCAAAATACAACTCACCAGACTAAATCCCAGAAGACGTCACCGAACAATTTCCAAAGAGTCCCAAGGGAACACAGGCATAATAATTTTTCTGTTCTACTCCAGATACTAAACATGAAATACAAAAATAAACCAGTAATTTAACAAGTAACAGAATTCAGAAGGCAATTGTATCAACTGTAACTGCAATACAGCTAGGATGAAACTAGCAGTACGTACTGATACCAGGTATAGGTTATGAAGGATACAATAATTAATTAATTCAATTAAAAAGTAATTTGACCAATCAATAAATATCTTCCTACTTTAAAAATAAAGTAATTTTGAGTGTATTCAGCTAAATGAATCTTCAAACATCTCACCATGCTGTGCCCCTATATTTTATTGCTTAAACTCTACCTAGATAATAAGCTAAATAGAGGAACAAGAAAAATAACAAGACTTAAGCAATGGTTTTACCACCCTAGTCCTCTTCATGTGTTCAACAGACTCACGATATTTTATGGAAAAAAAGAATGCTAAGGCTGAGATTTAAAAAAAAATATCTCCTGCTCAGGACCTGCCAAGTTCTCTGCTTCCTGACCTTGCATAAATGGCGATCTTTAAAACAAGGTCAATAATTCTACCCTTCCTCCTCCCTACTACAACTGTTACGTGGATCAAATGAGATGAGGTAGATGGACGTGCTCTGCATACTGCAAAGCCTTTTACAGATATGTGATGTTATTATGATGCAATTAATTATTGGTGCCTACTCATTTGAACCATAAAACAGTAACAATAAAATTTCTTTCTAAGACAGCTGGGAGGAGAATAATCAAAAGGTTCTTGGAAAATATTATTTAAAGAAACAGAAAGACACTTCTTTACAGTTGCCACTTAAGGTTTCTGGCATCTCCTCTGTGTCTTCCCCCTCTTACCTGGGGAATTCATGTGCAAGAGAATCTATCTTTATCTTCTGCCTCACCAGTTAATTGGGTTAATTTGTTGAGACCAAGAAAACTCCCCAAAGCTCTTTTCCACCTGTAAAGGTTTCTTTGGTTGTTGAGTATTCTGTGGTAGTAGTCAACTTAAGGAGGGGGGAAAGCTCCATTGAGCTGAGAGGGTTGATTTTATCTACACAGGTGCACAGAGCCTGAAAAAAAATTGGCAATAGTGCTATTCAACAAGTTCTTAAACCAAAGACAAAAAATCAAGGGAAAAGGCAAAAAATCTGTCACTTTATTATCTGTCTGAAAATCCAGAAAAACTTTAGCAAAAAGGAAATGGACAATCTACTAAATTAAAGGTATCTGCTCCCTCAGCTTAAGAAACCGAAGGAACTCATGCAATGAAAAGGTCACTCGGAGAAACTACCGGTGATCAGCCTTTAGAGCTTCTTTCAGTGTGCACAACAGGCACGGCCCCTTTTCATTTATTTTACCATCAACTATTTTTAAGTTGGCTAATCAAGAAATCTAGATAATTAAGACTTGGTTTTTCTTCAACATCAAAGTCTCTGGTTTTACCATAAAGTGAATTGTAAAGCAACAAAAACTGTTCCCTGACAAATTTTTTTATTTCATAAAATTGCCCTCAAAAGTATCCCCAATGTGACTGTTAAAAGTTCACGTTGGTATCTTACATAAGTAGATTTTTAATGGGGAAATGGGAGTAAAAGGAAACTAATATTTTTTACTATCTGCCATATGCCAAAAGCCATACATACCTGTCATTTCACCTTTACTCCATGAGAAAAGTATTTTTATCACCATTTCAAGTATTCACCCAAATGATACTATTTGGGAGTTGGTGCAAGGATCTGAATCCTAAATGGTCTGGCTCCAACCCATTTATTTGTCTTTATACTCGGCCTCTGGTCAGTGATAAGCACAGCCTTAATAATGTCTTGTTCTTGAAATCAGTATCTGTAAATGGAATCCTACTTACATACTTGGGGAGGCACTTACAAGCCTTATTTCCTCATTTGTGAAATGGATGGGGGCAGTTAGGTTTTACTACTGTCTCTAAGGTTTTTTCCAACTTAAAAAATACTGCAATTTTAAGATACAGACTGGAAAGTCTTATATAAAATCCCCATTAAATCACAGACTCTCTCCTAAGAGCTTCCAAGCTATTTTTTAAATCATAAATTATAAGGCAGGAAAAAGTCTCAAGTAATACTTGCTGATTATACAGTTGGATAGCAAATACAGATGTCTATCTCTACTTTTCAGGACTACAACAATGACAAAGTGAGAGATCTGAGATTCCACGATTCCACATAATTTGGTCTAAAGATCAAGAAGGAGCATTAGAAACAGCTGAATGTCTTAGTTGTAAATACAGTTTTAAAAGTCCTAATTCCATTTAAACTTTCATATTTTTTATTCCATATATTTGATGTTGCATTTTTCTTTTCAAGCTTTTAAATGCATTGAAACACTATACTTACGGCCACTGTTTTCAACACCAAAAGAAAGATCAGGCTAAAACCCCAGTCTGGATTGGAAACAGGGGAGCCTTAAAGTAATTACCCAACTCTTGCACTGGAGCTGATGTGGAAGTCTAGGAAATGGTCGGTCATCTCATAGTAAACAAAGTGTAATAACTCATTATCTCTGCTTTGCCAGTGCCAAGTCAAAAATAGAACACAAACAGTCAAAGGGGCAACACAAGGCAGAACCAAGATACAGGTGCAGATTTTTACTCATTTCTGACTGTCCTCACTGTGTCCAACTGAATGCTATCTGCGCACAGGCACTAGGAGGAGGACAGGATGAGCTCAAGAATGAGGATGGTGATAAAGGTGGTGAAAACAAGGGGGAAAAAAGAGTGGAGCAAGAAACTAGCATTAAAAATACTTTAAGAAACTGCCTATACACGAATCTACCTCAAAATTATAAGGAGTGTTTTATTTCCCTTCCACTTGCCATAAGCAGCAATGTAAAGATTATAATGTAAAAGCCACCAAAAAAAGTGTGTTCCTTTCAAATAAGAACACTCATTTTTAGAATACTTGAAAAATCTACAAATCCCTAACACTTGCAGTTGACTTGGGCTTCAGGCTGCCTGAGGCTTGGAAAGCTATCAATGGATTTCCTCTCCAGTCAGCCAGAGGAAAAGGGACACTATGAAATTCTTAGACAAGTTCTAAACTATACACAGAAACCCAAAGGAAGTAAATACCATCAAGGCTACAGAAAACAAAGTTTAAGCTACAAGAACCTAAAAAACAGAAAGCCCAAGGACATTACACTGTAAACAAGAAAAACAAAGAATTAAGGCCGCCATGAGTTTACCCACAGGCCTCTGGGTCACTAAGCAAAAGACATCCAAAACCTGACCAGAAATGAAGCTTCGGCAAATAGAAAAGTTTGCAAACATTAACTAGTACACATGTGGAATTTCTCAGGTAAGGTGACAGATACTATCAAAATTAAAGAAAGTCCTTCAAATTAGAGTGACCTTAGTCACAGTTCAGTCAATACCCAGGAATTATTATTTACAGTACCCCCATTAACTCGAAAAAATGTCCCCAGATGGCAAATGTATTGTCATCCTACTCAAAAGTAATACATAATCATGGATAGGTGATGAATTTTTTAAATGGAAGAAACAGCCTTGTTGTATAATGGCCTTGCACTCTGATCCTCAGGAATACTTTTTTAGGTGTATGCACTCAACCACTCAACTGTTCACCAGACAGTCATTCAACAAGGTTTCTTGAGTCATAGTAAATGTCTCAGCAATGTACAGGCACTGGGACAAATATAAAATGTTTAAGACCAGGGTAGGGGGGAAGCCTAGAGTTTGTAAAATACAGAAAACTCCATTTAGAAATGTTCAGGACCACATAAAATCTTTACATACACAAACACACACACATCTTTAAATCTCAGGCTTCAGCAGATACACCAGCAAAAGAAAAAAATTAGCAAGATTTATCGCCTAACAAACTGTAAGGTTATAAATATGAAGGCCAGCACATAGCCCTTCTGAATTTTGGTAAATAAATCCCACTAATCATTCAATATTGTAAGGTAAATTTTAGGCAAGGAAATCAGTGGAGTAGAAGTTATGAGTTTCAATTCTCATTCCCAAAACATGAAGAGAAAAAACAGACAGTATTTCTGAGTGACAATTTAAGGAGAGACCAGTAATTTCTAAAAGCACTTGGAAAAAATAGAATTTTTTAAATTCCATTCAGACTAGTGAAAATATTTTGTAATCACTAGTCTCCAAGTCTACTCTTAAAACAAGTTAGAGATGTGAACCAAAACATCTTTCAACTACTGAAACACTGAGCAGAAAGAAAATGGTTCAACTGCCAAGGTACCACACACAATGAAGAAAAAAAAAAGTTTACCTTTACCTAATTCTCTTAGCAGACATTACTTCAAATGATCTTGTTTTATCATTTGCAATTTGTAAAAATTAAACTGCCACTTGAGAAAGAATTACATAGGGTGTGGCTTTTCTAAAACCATCCCTGACCTTACAAACCAATAACCTCACCAACATGGTAAAAGACAACCCATAACTGGTTCAGTAAGAAAAAAAAAATGTGTTTCTCTTTCTAGTATCAGATCTTTTAATAATAACCCCCTTAAAAAGTGCAGCACTCATTTTCTTTCCACTTCTGCTATTAAAAATTAAACCCAGGTTACTAATAGCCTCATGTAAAGCCATCCTTCTACTTTTAGAAAAAAATATTCAGTTTCACTGCAAATATGACTGATAGTAACCGGAACTGTAAATCTACATGCAGTCTTTACAAGAAATTTACTTCTTAGGAAAGCAAATCCGAACGGTACAGGTGTACGTGGTAGCAGCGACTAACCTTCCAAAGAAATCTTCCAATCAGGTACGCATTTTGACAAGCTGGTGACAAAATTCAAGCTTCCCTCTGGGGTAAGAGAGCTGATTCACCGCCTCAGGCTACAAATCAGCAAAGAACATTTAAATCCTGTATATAAAGCTTTATTATTCCCACTAAGAATTAATATTAAAACAGCTCTCCAAAACAATACAGAAATGCATCTCGAAAGTAGTAAGCAAATTTAGTTATGCAAAGTCAATAAAAATATCTTCTAGCTTGGAAAAGTACGAACAGTTCCATTTGCTATTAAGTAACCCAAAACTTTGGCAAAAATATGCAGGACATCAGTTCTTACCAAATTAAGAGGTCATTGTGCTTGTTTTGAAATTTCACCCGGTTCATTCTAAAGCTTATGATGTATATAATTGCATAACGCCAAAACGTGAAATATTTATTAAACATCAGAGTGTAAGCATAAATCTTGGCCTTATATTAATAAAGTAGCCAAAGCTTCTGCAGTAATAACCAATACTCTATTTTCAAATGACTGGAAAAATAAACTTTCGGAAAGGATCATTTCTATCTCCCGGGCTCTACCCTGCTCCAAGAGATTAGAAAAAATAAAAAAAAGCTACTATCTTTTAACTGTAGGGAGGCCTTTAGGGTCTATCCTGCTCCACGGGATTAGAGAAGAAGAAAAAAAACTAAATTGTAGGGTGGCTTTTTGAGAAAAACAATGCAAAATGAAGAGTCTCAGTAAAAGGAGAATGTAGTGCAAGAACTGTTCTGTTCTTTGGGCAGAAGTGGCAAGCTCACTATAAAATGCTGCAGCCTCCATGCTTCCTCCTCCGAAGGATTAGGAAGTTTACAGCTCCGGTTTTACCTGTGCACCACAGCCTCAGACCTCTACTTGCGGAAGCCACTAACCCCGCCGGTGCAAAGTGGCGTGGGTGGAGAAGCCGGGAGTCCCTGAAGATGCGGAACCCTCGCAAGGGGAAAAGGACGGGGCCTTCGATCCTGGCACGGATTCCACCAAGAGCGAGAGTTTGGCAGCTTCACAATGGGCCGCTACTTCAGGTCTGAGTACTGACCTCCTCGAAACCCTCTTCCTGCGCTCCCCAGCAGCCCCAGTCCACCCGCGACAGGTGGGGCGAGGGCGGCGTCGCTCTGAGACATCTGCCGCTCTGGCTTCCGGCCGGCCCCGGGCCGATCCGCCAGCCCCCCACCCCCCCAACCCGCAGAGCAGACCCGGGCGTCGCGGGCGGCCCGGCCCCCAGGCTACACAGCCGGGCCGCAGGAGCGATAAGGCCGCGGAGCCCGGCCCCGGGCGGGCGCTATCTGGCCCGGGCACTCGCACCCCGCTGCGGGCGGGCGGGCGGCCAAAGGCGCAGCAGGCCCAAGCGCAGCCACTGCACAGCCGGCCCCGGGCCTGCGGCCCCGCACTGCGCGCCAGCACCCCGACTTCCGCACCGGCCCCGGCGAGGCGCCCGACCGCCGAGTCTCCGCACCTTCCCAGAGGCGCACGCTCCCGCACCCTCGCTCTCGCGCGCCGCACACTCCAGCCCCACCCCTGGGCCAGGGCGCCACGACTCCCGCACCCTGCGCGGCCCCACCCAGTGCCCCAGCCCGCAGCGCCCCGCTCGGGCGGGACCGGCCCCCCGCGGTCGGGGCCCCGAGGCTCCACCGCCACGCATCCCGCAGGCTAGCCCGGCCTGGGTCCCGGCGCTGCTTGACACCGCGCGTCCGCCTGACACGAGGCGGGGAGGAAGGGCGGCGCCGGGATCGGGACGCGCACTGGGCGCGGGACGGGGCACCACCTCCGCCCCCACCCATCACCACCTTTCTGCGGCACAAAAGGTTGCAGACGGAGCCGCCGTCCCCGTGCAACCT